ATTTCAAAAGACCTAAAAATGAAAATTTTTTTAGAGATGGGGTAAAATTTAGGTGAAAAAGATGTGTTCAATTTTTTCCAATTTGTTATCGTCATTTAACCGGGTTTTAAAAAATGTACCAAAAGCTTTTTGAGTATGAATGAACGAAGCAGTTTGCATTGGAACTAGGGTCGTAAAACAAAAACATTCGCATGAACTCCGTGAATCCGACTTTGGTGTGGACAGAAGGGTCAAATCATTTTATTGCGCAAAGTCAACCGATAAAGTTATTTTTGAACGAACGCCAATGTTTCGGCTCCTAGAAAAAGAGGGAAAAGCCTTAATAATTTCGTATTATCTAATTGATCTGTCTTCAATGGTTTCAGACGGGGGAATGACGTCATCATTTGCAACAAAACTTTAAATAAACAGTTCCTGAAGGAGACGAACTTAATGCTGTGATTTTCTTTTTATTAAGTGTCTTTTAATAGTAATTCAAATGCATATTTAACTAGATATAATGCATGTTTTAAATGCGTACAAATACAGTAAGTTTGACAATGAAATGGTATTTCTTGCCATATTTCTCTCTTCTTCTTTCGATATCAGTCTTTAAATGTTACTTATATCGTCTTGATTTAACAAAATGGCTGTATACAAAAATAAATCACGTGTTATATAATCTTGCTAGTTCACAACAAATAAAACATTTAACTACGCTATCAACATTATTGCTGTATACCATGCTCATGTTGAGTTGTTGTTTTGTTTAAATATATTTGAATGAATTGTTTAAAATAAGGTCGCAAATAGACCATTCATCTCTCTAGAAGGTAAGCCCATCTACAAATTTTCCCAGTATTTACATCAATTCATAATTCCAAAATTGAACATTAAGTTAGGCAAAATTAGACTCTTTCGCCACCCACACAGTTTTTTTTTCAGAAGTTCAAAGAGACAATCGTCCTTTATGTAATATCCATCAATAGTTACAAACAATAAAGTATAAAGCTGGTTTTAAGCTGTTTTGCGTTAAAGGGACTTACTTAAAAACCTGTCCTGCTAAATTTGTGTACTTGATTTACACAGCGATTTATTTGCAACAGTTAATCCTGAGTTGAGTTTAAGATATTTCATTATGCATATACATACACTTAGGTACCAACAGTAAAGAACCTTGTCATACTGCATTAATGTAAAGACTGGCACGTCGCAGTTTTTCACAGGATAAATATTAAAATGTGTCTTTAAAACATTGAGTTTTTATGAACTAGGTGACTTCTGGGGTTTGTTCATTTTTGGCCCTAGATGCATGATTTCTATAACTTTTGTAGAGAACCTCAAGGTGATATTACATGCCTAATATCTTTGTTGTAAAACAATTTTCTGAGATCTATCTCAAATCCAAGACTTTTCATTTGCCAGTGTACATTATGATTATTTAACTTTTAGAAAAGGCAAACACTTGAAATTTGAGCCTGAGCTTCGTGAATTTGTTTGTATCATCGACCAAGTGCTCTGTAATTTAAGAGATGATTGAAAAAGCATACATGTACACTTTATACGTGTATGTAAACAAGCTGTCCCCAATACAAAGGCAGGAACCGTTTATGACCCAAGTGATATGATTAATAATAATTTCTTAGATGTCATACCAAATATTGAACCTCTGGGTATTGAATTGAGTTTTTAACTCAAGAAGACTTAATTATAGGTATTTTTCTCTACAATTTTATATACACGAGTATATATATTTCAAGCACGGGCCAATTTGGACACCTTGGCATGATTTATACAACTTTTGTTGATGACCACAGGGTATACTGTTGTATAGCGCTTACCGGAAATAGCCCTAAACCACCGAAAACAAAAGTAAAAAGGTGTACGTCGAGTTCACCCGAGGTAATGTTTCAACTTATTTCTCTATCATAACTTAATCGATTTTTATCACACACCCGTGCCGATTTAGCGACTCCGTAATTATGGTATTGCACGGCCGAGCATATATTTTGACGTGACGTCGTTAGCGTTATACAAAAATAGTGTAAAGACGCACTAAATGTTAGTGTTATACTGTAGGCGCGTCAATGAAAAATGACTCTTATTTCATTTTAAACAGTCTTTATTTTGGGTATGTGATAAATAGAATATCAAATTCGTGTAAGTTCATTACTTACCTATTGTACTCGTATTGCACGGGTTGAATAAAATTATATTATGCGAGCCTCTGGCGAGCATAATATTATTTTATTCAACGATTGCAATAAATTCAGTATTGAAATTACCCTCATTCAATATCCTCTGTTTCTGAACTGAAAACAATAGGCAGTACTGTTTTTTGCAATTTTTGCTAAATGCAGCTCGAGTTGATGGGTGACCATCCAAATACAAGTAGAGGGAAGTCTATATTTTGTATTTAAGACGGATTTTGATGTAGAAACTGCGTTTTGGGCTTGATTAGTGGTAAATATCAACATCGTTTGCAAATGTCAACAACTTCGCTACAATTTAACAAAATGTATTCAATTTGCAGAAAAAAGAAAATACTGCTATAAAACTAGACATATTTAGCTTCACAAAATTGTTTAGTTTGGAAAAATCGATTATGTTATGATGGAAGGAAATGTACATCCTTTTACCTTCGTTTTCAATGTTTTGAACGGCTATTTCCGGTGAACACTGTAAAACAGTGAGGTAGCTCTGAACCATGAAGGAGAACGATTTAAATGTATTTTTACTATTTAAATCTTTGTAAAACTAAGTGATTCGAGCGGTATGCTGACCCCAGGCCATGATTTATAAAATTTTGTAGATTCATTACACAATGATACATGCCAAATTTATAATCTCATGGCATTGCAGTTTTCCACAAGCAGATATAAAAGCATTTTCCAATATTAGTCTATATGTAATTGGCGTCCGTGCCGAAGCGCGGCGCCTCTTATGGAATGAAATCAGATTTTGTGAAAGGGCGACAGCAACTTCTCGAGCCTTTTAGTCAGACATAATAAAAGCCGATCATTCCGATCAGTATGAGGGTGCTTGATTATTAATTAAAAATGAAATGTCGCGATATATACAATGAATAGCGAACTGAAGAATTTCGCAATGCAAACATTTTCAAACGAAATAACCTTTTCCGTCAATAAATCGCACTCTTCAGGGTATTTTTATTTATCATTTTGTAGTACACAGTGGGTTATTATGGTACATGTATCCGAAAGCTGAATAGAATGGTGAGTTGATGACCTAAATATTCCGAAAATCTATTTATAGAGGGATGTACTCCTATCGTAATTCCTGGTCTCTCCTGGTCTATTTTGACCGGGATTTACTAATGACCGGCGAATAGTACCACACGTTTATTGTCCGGTCTCTCCCGGTTTTGGAGTTGATGTTTGATGTCGATACAGAATAGAACAAATATTTTACAGTTATATAAGTTTTTTTTCAAAATGAATGTTTGTCACTTAGTTTGGTTACAATAATTAATAAACACAGATCAACTCTCAATTTTATTGATTATTTATACATAAACATACAATTCGAAATAAAAAACCCAACAACAACAACAATAGCATGTTTCATTTTATCTATATGAGATAAAAACAATAAATATGTACAATAATTGAGAAAAAAGGTACATTTTTATGTTATTAATATGACACTATCAACTTTGACACATTTTATTTAATTTGTTATTCGTGTTTAGTAAAGATGCCGAGGAATTATTCAAAGTTACAAATTAGATTTTATGAATTTTACAATGGATTGATATTTTAAAAAATGATAAAGAAAAATACAAATGTACATGTACATGGTTTAATCAATATTATATATTGAAAGATTAACCATAATTTACTGACTTTTCAAGTTAAGATTTTACTTATAATCGTCGGTCAATATGACAATTGAATTCTTAAAATAGTAGTAAACGTAAAAACTCAGTATTAAAATAGCACATAAAACACAAAAAAAAAGAAAAGAAAACAATATTCATAAAATCTGTATTTTTTTTATTAAAATAGATATTACAATTATTGTATAATAAACAATAATGCTCATCATGATCAACATGGTAATGTAACCAGTGTCATATTGTTAGTAAGTGTGAACAGATACCTTTAGAGGGGGTCCTCGCTAATAGCGATAACATAATAAGGGACAATTACACAAGTGTGGTGTTGATCATGCATTACACATATGGATTATAAAATGATTGTATACATGTATATCCGTTGCTATTAATAACCACGATCATAAAGAAATAACAAGTAATATTCTAATCTCTAGCATGCCAATAAAAGTTAATAATGAACAATGTCTTTCGTCCGTTCATTCATAAGTGATATACAATTCTGGTAAAAACCAATTAACCATTGAAAAGTTTATAATCATATATCTACTAGTTCATCTTCACCTGCTGCATTTCTTGCTTGGACGCCCTTTGATGCTTTGCATCAATGCTTTTCTTGTATACAATTGTAAAGGGGCCAGTTTTGACCACAGAAGAATGATTTACATAACTTTCGCAGAGGACCGAATGATGATGCTACAAACCAAATACATGTATGAATGCAAGCATGCATAAATCAGGGTTTGTGTTGAAGTAGTGGGGTAGGGAAGCTTGCAACAGAATCTTCCGCTACACATATAATCTAGGGTTGATATGGTGGATGGGGTTTGTATCTTCCTCCCGATGTATAACCGAAGGTTGACATGGAAACAGAGGGAGAAGCAAGTTATCAAGATTTGGGGTCACTGATGTTTCGAAGAGCCTAGTATCATTTTTCATCAGATTTTGACTTAAAATTCCAACAAATGATGTGATTAAAATGAGGCACTTTAAATCAAAAAGGTGTTGATTGGAAATCTTTGATAACCATACAAGGTATCTTAGATGGCAACATACTTTCTTTGAAAGAAAATATCTAACTTGCGATGGCAATACTTCACTTATGTACATTTACCCTGTAACACTTTAAACCCCATGGAGTGGTGTAAAGAAAGAACATATAAAATAGATATTGAATTTTATTCAAAATAAGAAGAAAATAAAATGTCTAAAACCAGTAACAACTAAAAGTTAATAACAAATATCTTTACTTTGTGTTCATGTACTACTTCAATTATTTGATCAATATATTTTATTAATCAAAGCTTTCTACCTCGGCTTTACACTGCAAAACGTTTATTTGATATTGTGTGACAAACTAAGCTACAATATGCCAGTTCCTAAAGCAATCAAACAATTTTCTGATTTAAACTCATGCTGATTCAAATTTCAGTCTTAAATTTTTCCGAATACATTTGTTGTAACATTAAGAAATTTGTACATAGGACGCAGATGCCCCAACATTTCACTGCTTTGTCAGACTACTGACCTACAACAACATGACAGTATGAAAAACGGACAATGAAAATTCTACATGACTGCCCGTAACCCGAAGTGGTTGAGATATAAAAATGACATTCATTTTTTTCAATATTGACATCTTGTTTTTTTTCCATAACATCATCTACAAGATTTCCAACAGTAACTGTAATTTTCCTTTCCTGCCACACAAGATTCATAATCAATTTAGTAGAAGTAGTATGAAAATCTCCAGCTTTTTCATTTTTTTTTTTTTTTTGGTAAACTTCTGGTAAAGTCTTTTTTATGTTAATTCCATCTTTTCTGTCAATTTCACATCTTTTATATGAATTCAAGATTTTTCCTTTAGTCAAGTATCTTTTGGGTCATGTTTTCTTATCACCAGTCAATAAGGCAACAACACAAGCACTTCCTGATAGCAAAACCCCTGTCCTAAAAATATAAGGAAAGAAGTATAAGCTCTTGTATTGTTCTTTCATGTTTGTTACAGGATTTTCATTATATATTTTTTTTCCTTTATAAAGTACATACTTACAGTTTCCACTATGTTCGCATCGAGTTTCTTTGGTGAATAATTTAGATATTAAGTAAAGGCAAATTATTTACTTTTTACATTGCGTTTGTGTAAAACCCAGTCAAAACTAGTTGATTTACACTGTAAATTTGACATAAGTTGGCAATAGAGAGTTGGAGTACTAATATATATATATAACAACAAGTTTTCATCTAAATGACTTATTTAGGTAAAAGAAGTATTCAACACTGTTATATGCAAAATCAGAAACAGCAATAGCAAATAAAAGATTTTTGTTTTAATGTTAAAATGTTAAGTAATACGCTAATATTAGAAGATAGAAGTGGATGAAATGACAATAATTTCTATAAAACGATAATTTGTTGAAGTAATACATTTAAAATATGGCAGAAAATGCAGGAAATTGGATGGACTTCCAATCCGAACCTCAACATATGACATAAATTCATCATTCAAGTAAGAATATTAGAATTTTATCTAATAGCTTGTGAAGACAGAAACTTACCACAAAAGTCCCCTGGCAACGGGAGAGTGTTTCCATACACTATAATATGTCACATATATTGTGTTGTGCTGTTTAAATGCTCGTAAAATATCTTTGGCACTGTAAAATTAGTAATAAAATACAAACATATTTCAACTGCATAAAATTTACTAAAATAAAACATTAAATACAGAAAAAGACCTGCAGTAACTTTTCAAAAGAAAACCATTTCAGTCATTTTCATTAAGAATTTCACGTAAGTCCACACAACAAGTTAACAACCCTTAGACATTACAGTTTCAATAAATTATGACCTTAAACATGTGTACCCTGAAATATATTCCATTACAAACAAATAAATTAAACAAATGATTCACGAAACACAAATCGAGTTTGAAATACAATGATTATTTTGGGGTTTGGGGCGACTTAAATTAAAGGTCTCGCTTACAATATTAAGGTAATACAGATATCTATTCAGCTTTTAAAATGCGTAAGAAAGCCCTGAGAAGTCCCTGGTTAGAAGCAAGGAAACGTAGTCAATGTACTGTATTAAGTATTCAAGAAAGTTAACTCTTCTGGTCTTCTATATTAAAACATGAGTACATAAGTTGTCATTCCTTGATACTCTTTAGTTTGGAGATTTGGTTGGATAAATACATGGCATAGATGGTGTTATTTCATTGATTAGTATTATCCAAGAATAATACAATAGAATAAATGAATTAAAAAGTTTTGTTATTTATAACTTTTGGGATTTTCAGTAATTATCAAAAGCTTAATTCTGAATGGGCTTTAAATAGTGTGTTATAGACAACTGTTGTTCTGTAATCAATTTCTCAGTCAAACAGTCTACTGTTCCCATATCTAACCAACATTATGTTATGTGTGGAGACAAAATATAATTTCATTAGAAACTTATTTATATCATTTTTATTTTTCGTTGGGTTTTCCAGTCAACTATATGTAGATTTTGTGACATAGTGTTTTTTTTTCAGGCACATGAATTTTACTACAAAATAACTGTATTTATTTAACATTTATATTGGCATTTAGTATTATTAACACAAAATATTGTCAAAATAAATTAGTTTTTCACATATCATGACTTTGAAAGGGCACAATAAAATAAAAACAGAATAAAATGTCTTACCAGTAGTGGTTTGATGTAGCAACCAATGCTTTATTTTGGCCATATGCTTTCACATCAACATTTCCATAGGGGGAGAACCACTTTGCTAACTGTAACAATACAAGAACGATAAAATTATTCTCTATACAACTATAATATAATATTATAGACACGGTCTTCATTTCTACATTTTCCTTCTTCAATTCACCTGCTTAGTTTAACATTGAGCACGTAGGATTTGTTATTCAGGTGTTGCTTGGTTGATCCTCAGAACAGGCGATAACTGAACTGACATTCAGTCTGAACTCTGACATTTAGTCTAATATTTGTGTGCAGCAATTTTATGACAAAGTTATCACAAACCTTACCAAATAATATATGTATAAATTTTATGAATCATGTAGGCATCCTTAACTGACATTCAGTTTGAACTGACATTAAGTCTAATAGTCAATTATATCTCACAGCTGATTAAGAAATTATGTAGGTATAATTGGTCACTTGCAGAGAAAATAGGATTTCATGGTTTTGTGTTTGCTATCAAAGAAAGCCGTTGAGTTGGACCATAGTTGTGCCAAAAATGACTAGACTATGTTCAAATCAGAGTAAAAACAGACACAACAAAGTTATAAACTTAAGACCACATTCTTTTTTAAATTTGGGACGGTTTTGTGACTATGGGTCTAACAAGAATTTCAGAAAATAATAAAATTCAGCAGCGTGGGTGACTGGATGGATAACTCAGACATGCAGGTTGACCTGGGCTTTTATTTATATAATTAAAGGGACTCCAATGAGATGTTTTTGGCTTGATTCGACTGAAAATATTTTTCGGGACTATGAATCATGATCTACATCATTTTATGTCAGTCGAATAACTTTATTACTTGTGTGCAAATTTCCAGATCATTTCATCACCTCGTTTTACAAGAATAATCATTTTTAATGAAAGCAAAATGTGTTGCAATTTTTTTCACTCATTATGTGGAAAAATGCACAGTACTGTCCTAGGATGATAACTTGAGCCTTTCTTTACATAACAAAGACCAAAAAAATGCGAAAAATAGGTAAGGCAGATCAATGCCACAACCTATGAAAATGAAATAAAACTACGTTATCATATGTCTTGTTAGCGCAGTAGGTAGAGCAGTCGTGTCAGTAATGTGTTTTACCCGTACAGGCAGAAGTTCGACTACTGGTACGACACATTTTTTTTTAACTCCGAGCAATCAATTATTCAGAAAACAGGTTTGACAGTTTTTTTTCCATGAACATACATGTATATGAGATCGAATATTTTATTACACTGCGATCAAAAAATACAAAATGAAAAAAGAATAGAAATAAAAATAAATAAACATATACTATAAAATAAAAATATATATTATAAGAAGAAAACAAAAAGGAAAATGAAAAATAAATAAATAATTATAATGATAAAAAAACAGAGCAAGAATAAAAAAATGTGGTTATAAAATGGCACTACGTGCGATTCGAACCTATGAGTACAAAACACTAAAAGTTACAATATTTTCGATATACCGACAGAGCCATAACGGTAATACACAAACGATACTGTAAGAACTAGAAATGTGTCCATAGGACACGGATGCCCCCACACGCCACTGTTCTGTCAATCTTATGACTCTAGGTCAAATATTTTTTGGACTACATGTGCCACAAGTTGAAAACTAAAAATCAACAAAGGGCCATAATTCTGTTAAATTTTGGTCGCAGCAAAAATTCCTTCCTTTACTACCATCTACACATTAAGGTTGTTAATCCCTGGAAGTTTAAGCAAAATCTGCCATCCGGTTTAAGAGGAGTTGCATTCACAAAATTTCTACATAGTATATAGTGAAAAATCAACAAAGGGCCATAATTCTGTAAAATTTGGTTGCAGCGAAAATTCCTTCCTTAACTACCATCTACACCTTAAGGTTGTTCATCCCTGTAAGTTTAAGCAAAATCTGCCATCCGGTTTAAGAGGAGTTGCGTTCACAAAATTTCTACATAGTATATAGTGAAAAAATCAACAAAGGGCCATAATTCTGTTAAATTTGGTCGTAGCAAAAATTCCTTCCTTTACTACTATCTACACATTAAGGTTGTTCATCCCTGTAAGTTTAAACAAAATCTGCCATCCGGTTTAAGAGGAGTTGCGTTCACAAAATTTCTACATAGTATCTAGTGAAAAAATCAACAAAGGGCCATAATTCTGTTAAATTTGGTCGCAGCGAAAATTCCTTCCTTTACTACCATCTACACATTAAGGTTGTTCATCCCTGGAAGTTTAAGCAAAATCTGCCATCCGGTTTAAGAGGAGTTGCATTCACAAGATTTCGGGACGGACGTACGGACAGACAGACGGACAAGGCGCCGACTATATGCTCCCCCGAAATTTTTCGGGGAGCATAATAAAACTATTTATTAAATTTAATACTCTAAGTGACCAATGATTTGACACTGTTGGCAACTATCCATGAATAATGATTGAGACAGACCTAATATAATTTCTGGGTGGGTGAAAAGCAATTTCTGGGTGGGTGAAAAGTAATTTCTGGGTGGGTGAAAAGCAATTTCTGGGTGGGTGAAAAGTAATTTCTGGGTGGGTGAAAAGCAATTTCTGGGTGGGTGAAAAGCAATTTCTGGGTGGGTGAAAAGTAATTTCTGGGTGGGTGAAAAGCAATTTCTGGGTGGGTGAAAAGGAATTTCTGGGTGGGTGAAAAGCAGTCACCAAGATAAAATCACTGACCATTGGAATCACATGTTTTCTTCTACAGGACACTTATAGATAGGAGTTCATGCAAAAGGCACATTCTTTGTTCAAAATCAATTTTGTTTATAGTTAAAGCAAAAATCATGAAAGAAAGCACTTTATTTACTTACAAACATTTATAAATAGATCGAGTAGTTAGCTAACCTTTACCTGATCAATGTTTAATTTTTGTTTAAACATTCTCCCACGTACATACAGCAGCTCTGGTCTTATTGATTTATGGTCGTCACCTTCTAAGTTCTAAAACAGAAACATATTACATGTAGAATCACACAAATCAACAAATATAAGCTATCTGAGTACAGCACTCTTCACTTTCATCAGAGCTGGAGAGTATAAAAGAAAAAGGGGCATAAATCTGCAAAAATGAGTCAAAGACAGAAATGTCCGGGCTGCATTTGTATACCAAATATCATGAGTCTGTGATGTTATGAAAATTTTATACCATTCACCATCAATGTCGAAAATTTAACTCGGTCGGAAAAAGGAAGTAGATCTGTGACAGACCTGAAATCGAATACCACAGTATTGGACCATCTTTTAATGCTGTGTACCAAATATCAAGAGGCTATGATATGTAGATGCTGAAAAAAAGTTTCGTGCCACTGACCATTAATGCCGAACATTTAACGAAATCTGTAAACAGGAAGTGGATCAGGGACAGACCTGAAATCGAAACCTTCTGTATGATACTACGTGTTAATGCTGTATACCAAATATCAAGAGGCTGTGATAAGAAGTTGCTGAGAAAACTGTTACGAAAATTTCCTAACATTGACCAATACTGTCGAACAGTGAACGACAGACCTGAAATCTAATACCACAGTAATGGGACCACAAGTTAATGCTGTATACCAAATATCAAGAGGTTGTGATGTGTAGTTGCTGAGGAAACTGTTACGAAAGTTTTTTCCCTGCTCGCCCGCCTGCCTGCCACATGCCCGCCATTCACCATACTATAACATGTGCAACCAAGACATTAAAAGTTCTTGGCAGACTTATCTACCCTTAAGTTCAGACTTGCCTCAAGGATATTAACCAGTAAAGGTGAAAATAATAATATATTGGTGAATAGCATTTTAATAAAATTAACTTTTACAGAAAAACCAATGTTTGGCCAATTACAAGAACTTGAACAACAGTCTGATTTCTGTTTCTATGAATAACAAAAAACAAAAAATACAAACACATTTCAGTATGTTTTTCTTATAAAACTCAATATAAATTTAGTAATTCCCAAGATAATTTACAGCAATAAAACATCGTTATTTGAAGAGTCTCCACCACAAGAGTAAGCCACATAATGTGTGCATTGCAAGTTTAACAAGAGCCCGGTTTGAGCCGGGTGATGCTCCCTGAATAGGTTTTGGACACAGGAAAGTACACCTCTTGTAGTTTCAGAGTTATGCCTTGGAAAAAGTTCAAAGTGCAATAACTCCAAAATTAGGAAAGGCAGAGTTACTGTTCTTTCCACTGCACTTCTAATCACTGTTATCTATGAACTTACAAAGTTTCTTGTTGATATCTCTTATGGTTTCCGAGTTATGTTCCGGACAAATTCAAAAAGTAAAAAAAAACAAATGGCAATAACTCCAGAATTAGGCAAGGCAGAGTTATGATTCTCGTGCACCGCACATCTACCCATTGAGATATATCTACCTACAAAGTTTCATGTTGATATCTCTTATACTTTTACAGCTATGTCCAGTACAAGATTTTTCTAAAAGGGGAGATAATTCAAAAATGAGGCTTATCAGAGTTATGGTTTTTTTGCACTGCACTTCTACTCAATGAGATCTATCTACCTACAATGTTTCATCTTGATATCTCTTATAATTTTAGAGTTATATTCCGGACAAAGTTCAGTGTTAAAATTAACAAAGGGCAATAACTCCAAAATTAGGACAAAAAGAGTTATTGTTCTTATGCACTGCACATCTACCCATTGAGATCTATTCACCTACACAGTTTCATGTTGATATCTCTGATAGTTTTAGAGTTATGCCCCAGACAAGTTTTTTCTATAAGGGGAGATAATTCAAAATTAACAGAGTTATGGTTCTTTTGCACTGCACTTCTACTCAATGAGATCTATCTACCTACAATGTTTCATCTTGATATCTTATAGTTTTAGAGTTATGTTCCGGACAAAGTTCAGTGTTAAAATTAACAAAGGGCAATAACTCCAAAATTAGGACAAAAAGAGTTATTGTTCTTATGCACTGCACATCTACCCATTGAGATCTATTCACCTACACAGTTTCATGTTGATATCTCTTATAGTTTTAGAGTTATGCCCCAGACAAGATTTTTCTATAAGGGGAGATAATTCAAAATTAACAGAGTTATGGTTCTTTTGCACTGCACTTCTACTCAATGAGATCTATCTACCTACAATGTTTCATCTTGATATCTCTTATAGTTTTAGAGTTATGTTCCGGACAAAGTTCAAAGTGTTGAAATTAACAAAGAGCAATAACTCCAAAATTAGGACAAAAAGAGTTAATGGTCTTATGCACTGCACATCTACCCATTGAGATCTATTCACCTACAAAGTTTCATGTTGATATCTCTTATAGTTTTAGAGTTATGCCCCGGACAAGATTTTTCTATAAGGGGAGATAATTTAAAAACCAGGTAAAATAGAGTTATTGTTCTTTGACATTCCACTCCCCCTCAATGCCCTCTACCACTGTATGAAGTTTAAACAAATTATCTCCAAGGATTTTCAAGTTATGCTCCGGACAAGAAAACTGACGGACGGACGGACGAACAGAGGGACAAGGCGCCGACTATATATATGATCCCCCGGAATTTTTCGGGGAGCATAAAAAGTAAAAAGTTAACATGTATTCTTTATCTACATTAACTAAGTGTCTCGCATTGAAATGCTTTTCATATATCAAATTATCAAAATTACACACTGTAGAATTCCGTGTCAAAACAGTTGCAAAAAGACAAAATCCACTGCACTCAACGAAATTTAATTGATATCAAAGGACAATAACTCAAAAATGCAATGTTGGTAGTATATAAAAAACTATTCACATATTTTAAGAATTACTGTGTTGAACATTTGACATGCATACCTTAATGAAGCATTTGACAAGGTCTGTAACACTCATAAAGCATTGCCCTACATTTTCGTCAGATACAGTTACTTGATACTAGTACACGTTAACCAAAACAGCCAAACAAACAAAATCAAGATAAATGATCTTTTTAAATGTTATTTAAAATTGTCCCATTAATACTAAACAAAAACATTGTGTAATTTGTGCATGATATATACTTCTTTGATTGAAATCTATGATAACTGACCTTAAATCATTTAAAATGAAATAGTTTTGTAAAACAAAACAAACCAAAACCTACATAATAGTATTTTAAACCTGTTATAATCATTGAGGATTTTGGTCTAAAAAGACGTTTTTATGTTAATATTTTCAAGATTTTGTATTATCTACAAGCACTGTATTTTTTTTAATTCCTTTCTTTAAAATAATCAATTCATTTTTGGTATTACATGAATACAAAAAAGAAGAACTGTCCAATGGGAAACAGACAATGCCCCCAAAGATAAGTTTTTAAAGTGGATACCAAGCTTATTGTAACAATTTAAGAAAAAGTGAATATAATAACACTTTTCAAATATGTAGGATGTTGATAATGAATATATCTTTAAAAACTTGTAAGTAAGTCAACAAAAGAAATAAGAAAATTTAAAAGTTAAAAATACTGTCATCTATCATAATTCAAGTTTTCAATAAAAAATATTTTTAAGTACACAAATTTGTTATATTTGCCATATCTTAAACTTTAATTGTATTGAAGAAAAAACCCAAATTTTGGGTCACCTCGGTTAAAAACCCCAAACTAAGGGATTTAGGTATTATATTGGTTTTCTATTAGGGGGTAATAAATCGTTGAATTAATACTACCGGTTTAAAATTTTATTAAAAAAAATCTTTTACAAGTTTTTACAGGTTAAAAACTAGCATGATGACAGGGAGTTCAATAAGAAACTAAAAAAAGAAATTTTTTAAAATTCTGCCAGCTGTATAAAATTTTATCAA